TATATTTGGCACTGAGACTTCAGAATGAAATGACTACTTAAAACATTGTTACCTTTGCCTATGTTATATTCTTTATATGACTCATAGTGACCAATGACATAATCTCCTTAGAAGAGAGAGGAAGGTTTCTATTGGAACTGTGTCATACCAAGCTCAGTGTGGGCATTTGTTTCTGTACCATTTCTTTTATTTTCTTAGAAATAGCATTTGCTCGGATTTATATAAAAGATATTGTGTTTTTTTAATGCCTTTAGAATGGGATTTTGTGTGCAAGAATTTTTATTTTGCTTTGGTTTATTTATTATCAACTGCCAATCTAATTGTTTTTAATAAAATCCATTATAATAATTTACTTCTCCAAGAAAAATGTATCAACATTATATTTTATTTGGAAAATAAATACCCAGTTTACCCCTGGAAAGCCAAGAACTGATTAAAGATTTATTTTACTAGAGGAGGAAATTATTTTAAAACCCACCAACTGGACTCAAACAAGAGTGGAAAATACCAGGATCACAGATTATAAACACTGGAAGTATCAAGAGGAAAATGTAGAACTAATCCAAATGGCCTTGAACTCTTTCTTAAAAAAAAAAAGAAAGGAAAGAAGTAGAGAAAAGAGAAGAAAAATGAAGAGAAGAAAAAGAGGAAGGAGGAGAAGAGAAGAGGGGAGAGGAGAGGAGTGAAAAGAAAGCAAAGCTTTGGATAGAGGCCTAAAATATAAGCAATATTCTCACGGACTGTGGAAATGTTGCCTTCTACATTTTGAGAAAAATCTTCTTGAAACTATTAAGAGATGTGAGATTAGCTAAACCTAAGTTCACATATGTCTGCTTGTGTGTGTGTGTGTGTATACAGTTGTTTTTATTGTCAGTGTGTATCACCCTGTACTTTTCGGTCACTTTTTTGCATGTATTTTTCAGATCCCATCTGTTTGAAGTTGGGGAAGAAATTAGGATAAGAATGAAATTGCCAGTACTAAAATAATGGTGCAGTACTAAAATAATGGTTCATTGTATGCTGGTTCTTTTTATGCTTTACTCCATGCTGTGTCTGCTCAGTCTAGTTTAGGTCAACCCAGAGTGTATTCCTTAGATAGCATTGCCTGGGACCTTTATCTGGGTCCCTGTTAAAAATAAGAATTCTCTAGCTACATCCCAGACTACTAATCAGCCATTGGCTTGGGGCCCAGCAATGTGATTTCATAAATCCTTCATGTAAATAAAAGGGATGCATGTTAGTGATTGAGAACTCAGTGAATAGCTTCAATTCCTGTGTGGATCAGTAACTATACCTTTATCTCAATATTGCTTTCTGTACTTTTGTCACAGACTGAATTGTGTTCCTCCAAAATTCATACACTGAGGTCCAAATCTCTAGTTCCTTAGAATGTGATTGTTTTTGTCAGTAGGGTCATTATAAAGGGAATGAAGGGTAAATAATCCCATTAGAATGAGCTGTAGTCCCGTGACTGCTTTTCTTACCAAAGGGGAGGCATAGACACACACCAAGGAAAGACCATATAAGGACAAAGGAAGAACATAGCCATCTATGTTCAGGAGAAAGGCCTCAGGAGAAAGCAATTCTAACCATGCCTTCATCCCACACTTCTGGAATCTATAACATTAAGGGGGAGAACTTCTGTTCTTCTAAATCATGCCGACTATGGCACTTTGTCTTGGCAGCTCTAGCCAGCTAATATGTCTTCCAACTGCTTGAGTTACCTCCTGGAAACTCTATGCTGTTGGTCATAGCAGACAACTGGCAAAAAGAGAAAATAGTATTACATAATTATCATCTGTATAAAAAAAACTGGTGATAAGTCTGAGTGTCACTATAAAACACTAAAAATACTACTTTTATTATTTTGTGATCTAAACTAGAGTTTTCTATCTGGGTTAATAATGGAAGCCAGATAAGCTAAGTTCAAAAATTCAAAAATTCTAATGAAAATCTACCCAAGATAAGATGTTAAGAATAAAACTTTACCAAAAAAAATGGGACTGGGAATTGCCTATCCATTTGGGGAAAAAAAAGCTTATGTCTCTAATGTGACATGAGACACAAAAGTATAAGTTCCATGAAAACTAAAAAAAATAAAGATAAGTAAAACTCAAATAGTAGAAAAGGGTAAGGCAATTATGTTTATAATCTTTGAGGAAGGAAAAACTCTTTCTAAACAAGAAACAAATCAAAGAATACAAAAAAGATACTCTGCTTGGCAAAAATGTAAAACTCTATTACACTGAAAGACACCCTCAGTGCAAAATAAATGGCAGCCTGGATGAAAAATATTCATAACATGGGCAAATAAAGTGTTAATATCCATAACATGGATAGCCTTCCAACAGTCAATAAGAAAAACATTAATATATTGATAGCAAAAAGATCTGGAAAGAGAAATCAGAGAAGAGCAAATGCACAACAAAGAAAAAATATGTTCAACTTCATGAGCAATTGGAAATACAAACAAAATGTATGGTTTAAACATTACTTACTTTGGACAAAGTCTGCTAAAATACACAGTAGGTGACATCAGGAATTGGGCATTTTCTTTTAGAACAGAATGGTAGTACACATTATATACTCTAGCAGTACATGACAGCGCTGTAAATGAGCTTGTCTTAATCCCACAATTCCACAAACCACGATAATAAACTCATAAGGACGTATTTAGTGAAACTGCCTTATTTGAAAAGAGGAAACTAACTAGAAATATAAAACATTCTCCCTCAATAGGAAAATGATTTAAATTATGGTATATTTATATTATATACTATCCAGATATTAAAAATAATTTTCATATAGACTGCTGAAGCAGAACGTCACAGAAGTATGTCTAGTACAATCTCACTTTTTGGCCAGGGATTTAGCTCAGTGGTTTCGCCACCTGCTGCGCAAGCACAAGGACCCGTGTTTGATCCCCGGTACCAATCTCACTTTTTTCCTCGTTTTAGTTTTTTATTAGCCCATGCTTGCAATACGTTATGTTTACGTTCCTGTGGGGACCTGGTACACACACATAACACATCTTAATTCCTTTTATCTCCTCTCCCTCTTTTCCCCTTTCATCTCTTGATCCCCTCCCCATTTGGAAAGATCTATAGCCTTGCTTCCTACTATCTATCCTTCATTTTGCTCTATATTTAGAATTTGGGTTTCTTTAGAGAAACCATGTGATATTTAAGCTCGCGTGTCTGATTTATTTCACTTAATATTGTAGTGTGAAGGTGCATCCATTTTACTGTAAATGACTCAAGTTTATCTCACTTTTAACTAAAATTATGTATCTATTAGTGTAGAATGCTTCATTTAGCATGAGAAGCTTGACACTACAATAGCACCATAAGTTGTTAATTTAGGGTTTTACAAGTCCGGTGTTTAGAAAATTCAAATGAAATTAAATATGAAATCCTAAGACTGAGTTTACAACTTTAAATCAAAACTTTAAAGTGCATTGCAAATCTAAAATATGTTTTCTTCAGATTTCAATAATTTTGCTCCTACTTTGTTATGAATAGATTACTAAAAGCAAAAGTTTCATTATTCTATCTAGATTTTTAACAGTAAATACGTCACCAGCAAATTTAAAATTTTTATAGATGGAAACCTTAATACTACTTTCTCATAATTGCAGATCACATCTTGCCCATATTGCTTGATATTTATGCAGGGCAGAGCAGCTCTGCCAGAAAATCTGCAGTTACTCCCTACAGAAACTTAGAACAGGGCACTTGAAATACAGGAGCTTATGGGCTGGAGATTTAGCTCAGCGGTTCTGCAGGCTGCCCTCAAAGTACAAGGACCCAAGTTTGATCCCCGGTACCAAAAAAAAAAACCTATATATATATATCACTGCAAAGATTTCATTTTAACCAAGTTTCTGATTTACTTTATGCCCAGCTATGTTTGAGTCCAAAATGAAGGGACTAGTCCCACTTGGAGGAAAGGAAAAGGAAAGAAATGTACTTTCATCTTGCACTAGTGCTATCATACTATTCGGGTTTTCTGACAGCCTGACAGGATTCAGGGACAGGAGGCATGCCAGGGTAAATACATTCTATCATAAGGAAACTAGAAGCACAAAGGCAGAACTACACTCATTTTTACTTATTAGAAAAGCAATCATTTAAGATATTGCTGCAATAGGCAATGTGTGGGCATTTTATAGAAAGTTTTGTTTTCTGCATTTTATTCTGTACTACTGTTAGAATCTAGAATTTCTACTCATTATAAACAGCATTGTAGCATTCATTCTGCCTTATCTTTAGAGATTATAGGAACATTTTTCTCAGTACTTATCAAGAGGGAATCCTAAGTGTTTTCATGTCAGGATGCTTCTAAATTTAAAAAAAAAAAAACATCAAACAAAAGGTTCCTGCTTAAAAACAAGAGTGAATAAAAAATATTTTTTAACTGTAGGTCGAAATTGTTAGTATTGTCAGCTCTCCTGTGTATCCCAGGGTGCACTTGCCTGCTCCCTTGAAGTTAGTGGACCCATTTTGCTTGCTTTGAACTGAGAAGTGTGAGTAAATGAGTGTCCCCTCCTCAGGCAGATGCTCTATGGCCCCATGCGTGATTCACCAGGATCTTGTATTTTTCCCTCTGGCATGGAGGATAGCAAGTCTAATGGTGGCTATCTTGTCACTGGAGTTCTCGGAAGTGATTATAATGACATGAGCTCACCTTCTCAATGGACAGGATCCACAGGTAAGATATAATATGAGGTTTACAGCACTGAGGTTTGGGGGTTTTTTAGTTATCATAGGCATCTCTAGGCTATTCTAACCATCCCTAGGCCACTAGATTTTGAAAATTATCAGATCTGAATTACAACCTGCCTAGGCAAAATGAGGCATGGGTCAAAGAAACATAAATGTCACAGAAGACTGTCCGGGAATACATAGCAAAATGCTTCCCATCTAACAGCAAATAAAAATAGGAGTTCAGCTTCGGGATTTCCAAGTTTTATAAGACCTTTCTAAAATAACCACTCTGGATAAATGTCAGTCCACATTTATTATAAAATCATTTGATGCTTCAAGCTAGTCAAAGCACTAAAATTACATAAATTGCATACCAATACAAGCAACAACATATACACATCATTACTTAATCTTTTATATAGAGAAAAGCACAAAATACACTTATTCACATAACAAAGAATACACTTCATGTTTTACTAAAGTGTGTCAAAAACAAGTTGAAGTCCAACATTATTTACCAGGTGATAAATTCTAACACCCAGATGAGGGAGCAAGAAAATATACATTCCTGGTCTTTACACTCTGATCCTGAACAGTTAATTTGGAGCAATGGTGGTATAGGTAAAGCTAGCAACAGTTTTCACAACAGCTCACCATATATGTTTAACAAGTGCTCTTACTTAGGTTCTAAGCTCAAATTAGGCCCAAAACTAAAGCAGGTTTATCTTTTTAAGTACTAATGTGAACAAACAGGACAACTTGTTACATAACACAAATATATCCATATGTGTGTGTATTACTATTTAGGAATTTTCCACTTTAGCTATCCAGATAAAAGCAACTTTCTATCTCTAGAAAAAAATTTTAAAGGGCATTTTTCTATCACCTAACTGAACCCATCATAAAAATCCTGATGTTTTTGGATGTACCCACAGCTAATTATGAGTCCGCATTCTCTGTCTTTATATTCATAATCCTAAAGCCCATATGCAATTTTATCTCATTTTTTAAATGCAGACACTAAAAATATCTGTGACATGTTTATCACTTGCCTAGAACGTAATCTCCAGAAATCCTATGCTGCAATAGTATGTGAAACTGCATGTGCACTACTTTACCCAATGCAAAGAGATACTCAGTTACACTGAAGATGTATCTGTGAATTTTAAAACAGAGCTTCATTCAATCAAACTGGTGAATCTGTTAAAATGTTTTGTACTATTCACTTCCAAAAATCAGAACAAATATATTTCCATTTGGAACATTTATGGAAGTTATTGGTGGACTCTCTATTGGTCATTATGTAGTAAATTGCAAATTATATGTGGAATTTTTAATAACAGAAACAAAATTCTAAAGTGAGATATGCACAAAGTTGTGTTCACTTTCTTGTTTTCTTTGGGGTAAAAAAGCCTAAAACAATATAAACACACATTCTTTTAGTATTTTTTTTCAATTTTCAATGTCTACTTGGTGCATTTCACACCACCTTAAAACCAATTTGATTGCCCTAAAGCTATGCCCAGATAATATAGATAGCTTTTTAGAACATGCAGAGTGACTCCTTTGTCGCAAATATTTGCATCCCACACAAGGTAATGGCCCACAAGATTTCTTCAGTGCAGACCACATGGCTAGGATGACACTGTGGCAACAGACTGACACCTCTGCCACTGGATCAGGCTCCCCAGAAAAGGCCTGTAGCCTGCAAATGAGTTTCTTCTCAGTGCCTCTCCCTACTCAAAGCACATGAAAATGTTCATTGCGGGTTTTTATCCAATGTGACGGGCAAGGACAGAGATTTGGTTCCTTGTGCTTTATTTCACAGAATACCACCACACTTAAGCAGCTGCAGGAAATAAATACCTGGTCTGAAAGTAAATGGAATGTCTGAAAGTTCTTCTTGGCTTAAAGTGCTCTTGAGACACATGAGAACATTTATACAATTTAACAGCAGTCACAAACTAAAATGGCTTTGTTTAGAAATATGCATTATATACACATACATGCACACACATACATATATACATACATATATACACTACAATAATCAATATGTAACTGTCAGCTTAAGTTAAAAATGTGCAAAAGCTTTGCAATTCCGTGTCCAATTTGCACCAGGAAATTCCTGTCTATAATTACATTTGGCAAGTATTCATCTAGGATCTATTATGTGCTATTTATAGGAGAATAAACTAAAGTTATGTGATTAATCATTTACTGGTCTTAAAAATATCATGTGCCAATATATGTGTTTCTTCTTTAAACTCACTGAAAACAATAATTGCTTTAAATCTTCACTGAGGCTATTTGCTTAATTTCTTTTAATTTATGAATGAGAATTTACCAAAATTCCCCAAAATTAACAATTCCAATGTAAACTAACAACCTAAAGCATGAATATATGAAAATATTGTTTTAAGTTTAGTTGAAATTCAGAGATTTCCTTGAAAGTCTGAAATCAGTCTCAGAGGGGAAATTAATTTTTAAATGGATCTAACTTAATGAAAGTGGGAAAGTTTTCATAGAAATGTATTTCCGTACTATAAAGCAGACCTACCTAGCCTAACCTCTGACAGACCCAGGACATTTTGAATGCACACTAACACATTCTACCCAATGAATCAGAATGTGGGTAGAACTATACTAAGAAGCAAAAGAAAAGTGAATTACTGGGAAATGTGCAGGGACATTATTTTCCCTCAATTTCTGATTAACAATTAAAATGATTCCAAAATGAATGTCTAATTTCCAATCGTCCCCCTTGATGCTGGTAGCATAAGCATTACAAGATGCAATCTTACTGATTTGGTGAACTTGCTCTCAACACAATTCTCTGATCTGTGTGTGTGTGTGTGTGTGTGTGTGTATTTGTAAATCAGAAACACACTAACTGCAGATTGTGAATATTAAATGATATGAACTTTTTTATTCTCTGACACAGAAATGATGGCTCACAGTAAAGCATCGTTAGCCTACGTTCTTTGCGCACATCACTGGGGTTTAAGCATGGCAGAGCTTTTTAGAAACTAATATTGTACAAGGTGTATCTGTTAAGAGAAAACTTTCATTTCTCTAAAATTATTGTAGATCAGTACACTAAAATTTCCAGACAAAAAGGAGACTGTTTGAAAACTGAAAATCTATGACTTGGCGAAAAAATCTTTCAAACAAAAATTGACTTTCCTTATGATAAGTGCAAGCAGTCATATTTGTCAAGTATAACAAGAATGGGCTCATTCTAAAGAGGTTTGCAAGAGGAAAAGACCTGTCAGCTACACCTGCAAGCTACAGTGAACCTCAGATGTCATAACCATGCATATATACTGATTGAGGCTACATAATGATTGGTAAAACAGACCAGAACCAAAAACTGGCAGTGCTCTACTTCAATGAGTCTAGTTTACGTGGAATAAGGAGTGGCTGTGGAGCAGTGATCTCAAAATAGCCATTTCACTGTGCAGGTACCATAAGGCGTTTTCTGATACACTGGCCATTAAGTGCAGCAGACCTTAACAGATTCATTTATTCCAAAAGAATGAGTCACACAGATAAACTCAAAATTATTGTCTATTTGACTCTCATAGCATTATCTCATTCTACGTCCAGTTGACAAAGAAGGAAAAGTGCACAGTCATGCAGCTAACTTAACAAGTTTAAAAAGCTGAATCCAACAAAAAGTATTCCCAAATTACATGCTGAGGTCTGAATTTTCCAGTTAGACTACATATCTTTATCTAATTAACTGAAATATTGCACAAATTATTCTTAATTTTGTTCTAGCCCTACACTGACTTACTGTCCTACTAAACTAGGTGCTTGCTGACTTCCTTTCTCTGCAACTGGTGACTCAGAAATAGCAGCAACCTTTAAGGAATTTTTAATAGAGCTCAGCTCCCAGATATGTAAGCTGATCACATGCACCCCACAACAGCGCCGGGCAAGCTTGTACAGATTCTTAAGGACAGCCTTCCGGAGAAGAATGTATACCCAGGGATCTAGGATTTGATTCCAAGTTGCCATTCGGAGAGCAAAAAGTGTTGTTTCACAGGTCTCTAGAGAATTATCTGCATTGATTCCAATGCTGGCCATTGTTACCTAGAAAACAAACAAAAGAGCGAAATCCGTTGAGTACAGATTTGTTTTCAGTCCTGCACTGTAGTTCTTTAATTTAACCTGCTACGTGCATCACATTTATTCCACTTTCCACGGTTACGTTATTTTGCAAAATGCTGACAAAAATAAATTAGTTATATCAGAATTGCTGATAGAGACATTTAAATCCTGTGAATTCAAACTGACATCAGAACTGCAAAAATGATAGCTTCTATAGTAAGTCGGATGTACATAAATAGAATGGCTCAAGGGAGAACACACATTGCATCAGTAACAGACCTCTCATACTCTAGGAATAACAATCTCAAAGCCAACAAACAAATGCATATCTCAATGAAAAACCAAAAGTATATTTAAGTAAGTAAATAACGGAAAACAACTTTTCAAAATGAATTTAGGACATTTGATATTAATTTGAATGTGGTATATGACATTGTTCTATAATATAATACTACCTTTAGAATTTTCTGCTTGTTAGCTACAATGATTCCAATGTCTTTAATTTTACATTTTCTTTCTATATCTCTCCCTCTAATCTTAAATTGGCTAAAATATTCTCAAAAATATGCAAATAACTCTAAGAACTTTGTAGAAATGAATTCACCTCTGTATTATCATTGTGACTTAAAAATAACAATATATATCTTGGTCTCCTCTGTCCATTTCCTGATACCTTATGATTGCAAAGAGATCATGTCATAGAATTAGTTCCATAAATGATCCTAATTACAGGATAAATGAGTCAAATCACAAAGCCCACCCTTGACTTTCAAATAGTTGCAGAAAAGACAAATAAAGGAGCTTTGAAAACACCTTGGCTATAAAAGCAAATAAAGCATAAGTGAACAGAAGGTTAAACTGAAACACTAAATGATATTTGAACCATTGTATCACCAAGATAAAAAATTGATATAACAAAACCTAAATTCCAAGTGAAAAGAAAATCAAGACTATTTTCAGAGATGCCTTTATTTGCACTGATATCTTTAACTAGAAGATAAATATTATTTATCAAAACATTCACTGTCAATACAACAAAGTATAAACTCCTCAGCTGTCTCCTTGATGATGCATCTGAAAGTTCGCCTTTGTAACATCACTTCTCTCCAAATACCCTATGCTCCAACCTCTGGTGAAGGCCTCTCTTGTCCCAGATGTACCATGGCCTTTCTGAGCTTTGGCTTGTGTAACTCTCATTGTTTTAACACTTTTTCTGCCTGACATCTCCTGTTCATCCTTAAAACTCCGCATGATCATTGTTTCACCCCCATATAACTTTTCCCATCTTCCCAAAATGAATTGGCAGTGTCTCCCTGTCCACCCCCAGTTCCATTGCTTACAATAATGCATAATATTTACTCGTGTCACAACATTTATGAGAATCTTTTGTTTTTCTTTATTTTTCTAATAATAAATACAAAGCTGACACCTAAAATGTACTCAGTAAGTTCATGGATGAATTCAATTATGTTATTTTTATTCCTTGAGACTATTTTGAGAAGAATACCTAATCAGCAGAGACACTTCTAACCACTCGTCACAAGGGTCTCCTATTTCGAGGTGTGAAATGTTTCTAAAAGTTTCAGTACAGCAACATCTGCTGCAGTCCGAGGTGGTTTGTTGCCACTTAAAAGAAAGCAGGTTTTGCAGACCAGACAAATCCTTTGGGAAATGGTTATCCTTCCCACCTCCAGGGTCCATTCCCTGGGAAAATAATGAATTAAACTAGAGGCCTAAGTATTCTGTAGCTAAAAATCAAAAATCAAAATCGTATTTCCTGCACAGCAGCACCTGGGTCTGATACACAGTTCCCTAAATTATCCAATAAGTTTAAAGAAATATACCTATTGGGCCCAGTTTCTCACACAAAGAAATCAGAGCCAAGATTTAATTGGCAGTCAGACTGAGATGTTTTCACTTTATGTTTCTCTGTACTCAATTATCTGCTATGTGCCAGGCAATGTGCTAGGCATTGGATTTACAATGAAACAAAGCAGCCACTGTAGAATTCTTAATCTGTTTGCTACAATAGTTTTTGTTTGAAGACAAATATTTCTCTTACTTAACAAGCATGAAATGAATGCATTTTCTAAATGACTCAGTATATTCCTGGGAATATACCTTAGCCTAGCTGAGACTGCTCTGTGAATATGGGAACAAAGACGCTCAGTGTAATCACCTGGCAGTGCTGGCCTTGTTTTAGGGATGGGCCAATTTGAAATATCTCAGTTACACTGAGAAGCATGCACTTATCTGATTCCTTTCTTTGTTCTGTAAACAGGAAGTGGTCACTAGCTGTGAAAAAACATGCTGCCCTCTATTGCAGGAGCCCAGGACACAATTTCCCTCCAGAACACTATTGCGGTGCCCTGGCCTTCATAACCACTCTCTCCCTCCTTTAACTGCCAGCCCCAGCCATGAAGACCAGTTGCTCCAGAGACCAGCTTGGAGAGGGACTTATTATTTGTCCACCAATAAAAACATAGGTGAAATATTCCTGTACAAAAAATATCTGGAGTATGTTATTTATAACAGCACATTATTGATAATTCAGGAATACCTATGGTAATTTCCCATAATGAAAAAATATGCAGGTATTAGTGTTTGTGATTGTCAACATTTTCAAGAACAAATTATCAAGCTATATTAATGCTGTAATCTCAATTTGGGGGAAAAAAGTTACTTTTGTATAGAGAAAAAATGACCAGAGTGTGTATTGGTACTTTCACTGATTAACTTTAGATAGCAGAAATGCAGAGGATTTTGATTATCTCCTTTGGTTTGTGTCTAACTTCGAAATTTTTGCTTGACCATACATTGTTCTCTGCAAGTTATTTTTTTCCCCAAGTAATTTGTGAAACTACACTATTTTACCAAAGAACTCATGTAGACTATTTAAGCATATCTATGTGTATGTAAGTCAAGTGGTACTGAGGAAGCCACAGAATTGCCTGGTAAACTTAGCTCTGATAAAATTGGTAGGATATGTGTGAGAACTGCAGCCAGAAAGAATGTCTGCAAACAGCTGACAAACACATTTTGGAGTCATTTTGCCTGGAGCCTGATGACAGTCACTTCATAAGGCTCATGAGCATTCTTCTCTGCCCAGCCCGGCCCACCCAACTTGCATTCCAGACAGCTATGTGCAGATCCTCATCAAACACATACTTTTCATCTAGTTTCCAAGAGCCACCCATCACGGAACTGGAAGAATATATGTTACTTTCTAAAATGTCTTCTATTACACATTGCAGTTGCTCATCTAGGTTAACTATTATAATCATAACTGAGAAATGCACAGGAACAAGTGGTCTGATGATCCATTAAAATCAATTAACTAACCTGATGTCCCTAAGGTACTCACTACAAAGATAAGAGAGAAACCACTGAAGACAGAGATATACAGGAATGTGAGTTTATATGCATTACAAAGTTTCAAAGGGCAAAACAGATAGATGATATAATAAAATATCCACCCACTTGGGCCACATAATCCAATTACATCAGCTGTTAAATTCACCACAATTAGTCAATCTGCCAGGCTACTTTACACATAGATAATAGGATACATGGTTACGAAAGCTTTATTCTGGAAATTATTCAACCTCCTCTACTCTATGTCTGTACACCTGTTCACCAGAATGAGGACATCCATGGTGTTTACAAATTAAAAAGCAATGGTATATTGAAGAAATGTGCTTCCATTCCTTTGTATATTCATAAAAGAACATCAATCTAGCAGTGAGTAGTTTTTGACGGTCTCCTATGTCCAACCAGTGTGCTAGATGACAATGTCACAGAAATGGATATTTAGAGAACCTACCTAATGATATATTTTGCTAGTTTTTATTCTTGTCTCTGACACTAAAATATCATCTTGAAAGTGCATGTTTTATATGACTGGTACTCTGTGTTCCGGGGGCACACACTCGGGTAGGCAGTATTTGTTGAAAGAACTGAATAATGTCCCTATGAGGAGAGAGCAGTAAGAAAGCAAACAATTATAATGCTGCATATAGCATTATAAAGATATATAACAGGTGTTAGGTTGAGCACGGTGGCACATGCCTGCTGCCTTAGGTCCTGAGGAGGCTGTGGTGAACTATGCATCTGAGACAAGCTTCTGTGACATAATGAGACCCCATCTCTCAAAAACAACAGAAACAATAATGATAATGAATAAAAGGTGCTATAGCCAGGACTGTTTACTTATACATAATCATAGAAGTAATTACAAAAAAGCATATGTTTTTGAAATTTTTCTAGCACATAAACACTTTAATCAGGCTTGACTACCTGAATTTATGATTATTGTACTACAGGTTGAATTTTTCCTTAGCAGAACTTTTTAAAAGGAATTTTAAGTGAATATGTAATCAAATTCCTTTCTGGTGAAATGTCCAACTTCTTAGAAACCAAAACACATCTTAGGATATTATCATCATCTATTTTCATATGAACAATGTCTATGATAATTATACATGATTCTCACATAGTCACTGAAACAAGTGTTACCACGCACAGTTCCTCTAACTCCAAAAAGTAGACCATTCTTTCTTCTTTAGTCAACATTGAAAAGGACTAATTCAAGGACAGTTTCTTCAAGGAATGAATATGTGCACAGTACAGTTTGCTGATTTACAAGGTGCTATCCCTTAAAACTTCACCATCCAAAGATTAATATTTAAGTCTGCCACTTAAATAACCATAGAGTGTAGCACCAATTGTAAAGATGTAATTACAGGCCTGTTTCATTGTATAATAAAAATGATTCATCCGGAGGCTTTGCCAAAGGAATATCCCATGAGGTCTTTGTGTTCAGAGTTTAATCTCTGTGTTAATTTGGGTATCTACTGACAGAAGAACCATGCATAAAAGATGGATTTTGAAATGACACAGCACCTTTGAATATTTGCAAATGACATATATCATTTTAAGTTAACTTCAGTGGAAATTTGAGAAAGGCATATTATATAAAATAC